CCCAGCACGCAAGCAGAGGCCAGCCGGGGGGCTACTGTGGGGACCAGACCCAACACAGTCTGTCTCCAGGGCCCCTTCAAGATTCCAAAGGCAGGCAAGGCCGAGGATCCACTGGGGCATCTCTTATCTTCTCCACCCTCTTGTCGCTTTTTCCCCCAAACACCACTGTTTAATAGAAATACCGTATGATTCACATATGTCATGTAAAATCTAATTACCTTTTTTAAAGAATTATTTTATTTCACTTTATTTATTTATTTAGTTAGTTAGTTATTTTAATTTGACCAGTGAGGGACAGAGAGAGAGGAAGTGAGAAAGCAAGCCACCAGGTCCGGAACTTGAACCACAGTGGGCCAAGTGGGAGTCCAGTGCCCTTAACCACCATGCTACCTGCCAGTCCCTAATCACATTTTTTAAAAGTAAGAAGAAATGAATAACTTTAGTCGTAAGTAAACTTGGGATTATTAATCCCAATATATCCGAATAGTATTGGTCCACCATGTAATCAGTAGAGAAAGGTATGTGAGATATTTAACACTGTTCCTACTAAATCTTCAAAATTCAGTGTGTGTTTTACACTTAAAATATATCATTTTCTTTTTTTAGAGACTTTTTTTGCTGTAGGATGCATGTGCTAGCCAGAGAGACAGGGAGAGACAAAGAGACAGAAAGCAAGAAATCGCCCCCTCTGGGGGCGATGGCCACGCCACAATCCCTTCTCCCCCCTTCTCCTCTTGGGATTCTGGGCATGCACGCACATGCACCTGCCATGAGTTTTAGGCCACTGGGTCCGGGACTCGAACTGTGTTTGACTTCATGGGAGTCCAGTGACATAACCATTACACCATCTGCTGGTCCTGCTATATCATTTTTTTAACTGCCAGAGGGCATGCGCACTTGCCAGAGAAAGAGATGAAAGAGAGGGAGAGGGAGAAAGCAGTCCCCAGGGAGATGTGGCCATGCCACATCCCTTCTTCTCCCATTTCCCCACCCTGTTAGGATTTGGGGCACACACACGCACACACACCCCTGGAGTGTTTATCAAGCTCCCAGGGCCAGGACTCAAATTATGGCTGGCCATGTGGGATCTGGCTCCCTTAACCACGAGGCCACAGGGTCTGATCCCGACTGGCTGTGTCCAGGGATCAGCAGCCGCATGGGGCAGGTGCTACAGCACTGGATGGTAGTTAGAGAAAAATGATGCCTGTAGCTCCAAAGAAGCCCTGTCCGTGAAATCCTCCGCTCCATGTCTCGGCGGTTAGTGGCCAACTAAGATGCATAAACTGAGACCCATGTGAAGAATAAGGCACTCTCTCAAATGATATTAGATATTAGTGTCCATCTGAATTCAGAAACATTCAAAAGGGCAAAATAATTCACAAAGGCTTCAGACAAATAGTATCTGAAAAAAAAAAAAAAAAGGAAATTATCTCCGGATCATAAAATTAAGTAATACATGAAACTCTTCCCCAAATGGGACAATATCTCAAACAAATGTCTGGGACCTGTTTCTAAAAATTACAGGACTACTCTATTCAAACTTTTCCCAAAATTAACTAAAAAGTTAACTAGAAATTGAAATTCTGTTTTTCTTGTTTAGAATTTTGCCATAGGGTACATGTGCTCACTGGAGAGAGAGAGAGACGGGGAAAGAGAAAAATCACTTGCTGGGAGGCCAGCCATCTGGCAATCCCTTCTCCTCTAGTCTCCCCTTGGCATTTTAGACGTGCATGCACACATGCCTGGTGTGATTTTCAAGCTGCTGGGTCTGGGACTGGAATCATAGTTAGCCATGTGGGAATCCAGCATCTTAACCACACCACCACCTGCTGGCCCTGAAATGATTTTTTTTAAATCATGAAATGATTATACTTGCAGTTTTTTTCTTTTGTAAAAAGACTATTTAGGTCACTTGGTTATTTACATAAAGAGCTATTTTTTTCTCTTTATTGATATGTGTAAACTCTTTATATAGTTAGGATATAGCATGTACCAAGTCTTTGGTACATACCTATTACTAGCTATATTTAAAAGAGATATATTAAATGTCCATGATGAATTGATAAAAATGTTTTGTTTCTCAATTCATAAAATAGAGTACTATTCAACCACAAGAAATGCACGATACAGCATGGAAAAACCTTGAAGATTATACGAAGTGAAAGAAGTCAGACACAAATAGCCACACGCTACATGATTCCATTTAAATGAACGTCCACAACAGGCAAGTCTATACAGTTTGAAAGTAGACCAGTGGTCATCAGAGGCTCAGTTACAAGAGAAAAATGGGTCCGTTTCTTTTTGGGGTGATGAAAAATCGCTCCTCTTAAAGTTTTGCTCCAGGATACATGCAGTCGCCACCCATGAGAGATGACCACGCTGCAATCCCTTCTCCTCCAGTGTTCTTAGGACTGTTGGCAACCATGCACATGTGCCCGGCATGATTTTTAAGCAGCCGGGTCTGAGACTCAAACTACGCAGTTGGCCATGTAGGGTCCAGCACCTTAACCTCCATGCCACCTGCTGCCTGATTTTAAAATTTTCTGGAATTAACATCGTGGTGATGGGGCCAGCAGGTGGCGAGGTTAAGATTCTGGACTTCCACGTGACCGACTGTAGCTCAAGTCTTGGACCTGATGGTTTGTTTTCTACTTTTTCTCTCTGTTTCTCTCTGGTGAACACACATACCCTATAACAAATTATAATAATCATAAATGAATAATTATTTTAAAAAGAAAGAGTGGTGATGAATGTAGAATATTTGTGAATGTAGTTAATGCCACTGAATTATCATACAATTTTAGGGGGCTACAATGACAAATATGGTAATAGTTATGATAATGATGTTTTATGTGCATTTATCAAAATTTTTTAGAGAGATTTTTGCTATAGAGTACAAGCACTTACCAGAGAGATAGACACAGAGAGACAGAAAGCGAAAAATAGCCCCCTGGGGGGATGACCATGCTGCAATCCCTTCTCCTCCATTCTCCTCTCAGGATTTTGGACATGGACGCACATGCACCCGGTGTGAATTTCAAGCTACCGGGTCCAGGGCTCAAACCAAGGTCAGCCATGTGAGAGGCCAGCAATATAATCATTATGCCATCTGCTGACCCATATTTATCAAAATTTTTAAAAGGCAAGAATAAAATCAAGATATTGGATCATCAGAAAAGTCATGATGTATTTTTCTGTTTTTCTATGCAAAAATGCATCATGACTTTTCCCAGCATTTTCAGGCAAAATAAGAGACATATCTTTAATTTTTTTAAATCCTCATGGAATAATAATAGGAAACAAAATCCTACAGACTGTCCCAGAAGTGGGAGTTCTGTCATAAAAGCTGAGCCAACAAGGCTTCTGTGTAGCCTGGGAACAGAGGGACACGCCTTCGTCATGAGGTTGTACCAGCGTTGGTGAGAAATGAGTCCTACCCGTTTCTGAGACCCATATTGACTTGAATCATTCCACAGTGCTAAAAATCCCCACACCTTCTGGCTCCCTCCCTCCCACTGTCCCCCACGCCTGTCTCTGCACAGATTCAGCAGTAACACCAGCTCTGCCTTCTGGGCCCATGGCATGAGCCGTTTCCTGCTTCCTGCCGAGCTTGCGTGGTTGGGACAACTTTCCTGGCTGCAGCTTCCAGGAGGAGAACTGTGCACCCTGACTTTCACTGCTACCCGTGTGGTGCCATGAAGGGGCAGCTTCACCCAGTGCTTAGGAGCACAGACGCTGGAGCCAGCGCCACCATCCACTAGCTGTGTGACACTAGACACATGACCTACCTCTCGGATCCCTAGTTCCCCCATGTATAAATGGAAGTAATAAGAGGACTCCCTCATAGAGATACTGTGAGGATTCGATGAGTTAATATATGTAAAACTCGTTGTGCTTGACACACAAAAGATGTTTTTTTGGAGAGGTTTTTGCTATAGGGTGCGTGCACTCACCAGAAAGACAGAGAGAGACAGAGAGACAGAAAGCAAGAAATCACCCCCCAGGGGGGATGGCCACACACAATCCCTTCTCCTTCATTCTCCTCTTGGGATCTTGGGCACGCACGCACATGTGCCCAGCATGAGTTTAAGCCACCGGGTCCGGGACTCAAACCGCGGCCGACTATATGGGAGTCCAGGACATAGCCATTATGCCATCTGCTGGCCCCCCAAAAGGTGTATTTGAAGAGTCAGACCTTGGGGCCAGCAAGTGTTATAGTGGTTAAGGCACTAGACTCCCACATGGCTGACTATGGTTCAAGTCTGGCATCTGGTGGCTTAATATACCAGACGTGTGTGTATGAATGCCCAGAAACATATCTTTAATGATGTTTTATGTGTATTTATCAAAATAAATAAAGGAGAATAGAGGAGGAGGGACTGTGGTATGGCCATCCCCAGAGGGTGATTTCTCGCTTTCTCCCTCTC